AAAGAACAAACGCGCGCGTTGATTGTTTTGGCTTTTATGATAGTTCCTCCTTTCCGTAAGTCATCATCATCATCATCATCATCTTTTCCGTCGTCACCATTATTTAATGCAAAGTATAATAAAGAAGCACACACTAAAATCTTTTTTTTTTACATTTCTATCAGAAGTGTATAACAAAATGTTCAGATATTATATCATTGACTTGCAAATTTCATTACTTACTGCCATGCATATCTTGCTCCTGATTTGAATGTCAACTGGTCAGATAATCACCCCCAGAAGTTGACAACGAAGGCACAGTATTGCATGTACATTTTTTTAAAGGCGTCAGACGCTTTGCCTTGGGTGCTGGCAAAGTTTCAAGTGGAAATTGTCGTGGCTAAAGACCAAAAGGTTTTTGTCCTTGCTTTAAATGTGCATTTTTATTACCTTTTTTTAAAATACGAAACGAAAACTTTAACAATGTTCATTAAAATTTCTGGCAGGCCCACAATAGTTGATACTTGATCTCAATTGTCTTGAAAAACAATGCATATTCTGTACTAGACAATAATGATTGGATTGCGTGATAAGACTGATCATTATTTTTTAAAATAATAATAATAATAAAACTTAAACACTTTATTCGCTTGACTTCATTTTTAAGAGGAAACAATAATACTATAAAAAATAGTTACCTTTTTCCTTTTGGTGAAGGTAAAGATTTCGTGGTGAATTATTATTCAAGCCAAGGGGTGTCCTGTAGTGCGTTTGTTTTTTGTGAAGGCTCGTTATGTGTGTCCCTCTCTTCATCCAACTCCTTCTCCAAGAATATATTGCTTAAGCACATGCACCTGATCGATAAATCAATCGGTGGTCAGCATAGCGCACAGAAGGGGGAAAAGAGACAGAAAGTGCGAAGGAAACTGACATGTCACAGCGGAATTGGCGTAATCGTAACCAGTACCTTGCAAGAACACTTTACTTCCACTAAGGGTCTTCACGAGACAATCGCCATGCGGTGTCTTGGTTTGGCTAATAAAGATGGTGACAGTGCACTATTAGGCTGTTTTTTTCTTTAGGCCTGCCTTTTGATGCGAGTCAGGTTATTTCTTAGTAACTATTTCTATATTAAAGGATAATATACAAATAACAAAATCTCAGGTTTAACCATTGTTCTTTTTTATTATTTTTTTAATAAGTCAAAGCAGATGTAGGCTACGAAAACGGACAAACGACTGTATCAAAGCATACCGTCTGATAATGGTAATACACGTAGATCTATGTATCATTGCTTCACCGGGTAAAGGTCGAAACGTGCTGCGTTCTTTTATCGCGTCAAATCAACATGGCAAACTGCCTCTTTTCGCTGGGTGAAACACTTTGAAGAAAAAAATGACACTGAACCACAAAAAAAACAAGGATCCCATCATCTTTTTCAATGTTTGTATGGTCAAATCTTTGTGTCTCCAGGCAGAGGTAAATGTATCTACTGTTAAAAGTAAAAGCCTTTTAGAGAGTAATGCTCCAGTTAACGAGGAGACCTCTGCTCTAACAACTAAACACATGCTATTGCCAGTCGCTATAAGTGCTATCAGTCAGCATCTCTACTACAGGGGTTAGGCTCTTTTTTGTTGAAGGAAGAAGATGTTAGTTCGATTCCCGTGAGAAGAAATATTATTCTATCAAGTATAACAAGCCTGTCCACCTGGGTTGTCCTTGACAGGCATAGTAAAAACAGCCGAACGAAAGTAAGTAAGTAAGTAAGTAAGTAAGTAAGTCAGTCAGTAAGTAAGTAAGTAAGTAAGTAAGTAAGTAAGTAAGTAAGTAAGTAAGTAGGTAAGTAAGTAAGTAAGTAAGTAAGTAAGT